TCTCCCCATCCATCCCAGGCTGGGCTTGCAATCCTCATGCCTCAGCCTCCCAAGTCACTGGTATTACAGGCATGAACCTCAGCATCTGGCTTTCCCTCTCTTGAATTGTCCCCTTCACCTGGCCTCTTTCATCCTGAGAGCCACAGGAACCTCAGCAATGTCCCAGTCCCATGAGGAGGGGAGGGCAAAGCAATAGGAACGAAATGTCTCCCTTTAGTCTTGGCCCATTGGGTCCTCCAAGTATTAAGGGATTTTGCTGAGTGCTACAGAGAACAGAGATTGTGCTCTGTAGACCAGGCTCTCTCCTGGCTCCTACAACTAGGAATCACTTTAGCAGATCAGCAGAGGTTCAGGAAGGCAGGGAGCTATCTGTACACTGGGCATAGCGGGGCTCTGCCCATATGAGAGGCAAGGAAGAGAGCAGGAGGGCGAGGGTGGAGAGAGAACACTCAATGGCTCACCAGATTCCATCATAGGAAAACAGTTTCCGGAGGTGCTCCTCAGGAAGAAGTTTCAGCGGCAGGTGTTCATGCTCTGGCTTGAAGCTGCCGAATGCTACTGGAAGGGACACACTTCTGAATACAACTAGGACAATGCTGAGTACCAAGATGAAGGCTGACGCCTTGAGGAGCCACAAATATCTAGAGATGATGGAAATACAAAAAAGCAAAACACTTTAACAACTCTTCCTCCTCCTCCTCTTCCACTTCCATTTTCTATTCTGGGCATCTGGGGATGGAACCCACGGACTCTGCTCTTGCTACATCCCCAGACTCATTAAAATCTCTTTTTTTTAAACTTCATAATAAATGGCATGGTTACATGATATAAATGAGAACAGTAACTTGAGGAAAAATGCAAGTTGAACCTGCTTCTTATACTGATCACCAAAATTGGTTTCTGATAGAGAGTGAAAGAATCAAGTTGCAATAAAAGTATTCAGAAACATTTCAAATAAAAGTGAATAAAACTGTCTCCAAAAAATGAAGAAAAAAATATAACAGTGGTCCACTTTATACTGTGAATATAGCCCTTGCTGCTCTGACACTCTAACTTATTTTTTAAATGGACATGTTTCTTTCTGTTCCTCTCTAGATCCTCCCTAATCCCATGGGCAAACAGGATTATCTTTCTTCCCCATCCTAGGCAGAATTATCTGTACACACACACATGCCACAGGACCAATGTAATTCAGACTTAGGGATGGAACCAGAAGTTCTCAGAAATGACTGTCTCCCAAATCAACAAGTGAATTACAACTCCAACAGAGAACATATGGTCTGTAGCCTTTGGGTCACCTCTTTAAAAACTGCCTGCTCCCCTGGATGGGCAGAATCACAGGCCCTGGGACAGGAGTTCCCTGTGTTCCTCCTTTGCTAGCAAAGCAATAAGACTTCTTTTTCCTTTTATGCAAAACATTGTCCTTGTTATTGCATGGGCATCAGGGACAAGAAGCAAGCTTTTGGTAATACTCGCCTAATACGTGCAAAGCCCTAGATTTGATTCCCAGCACAAAGAAAAACAAAGATACCTTCTGATTGTGTGTTTTGTCACTATATTCATTTTATGATTTATGACACTTTGACAGCACAGATACATCTACAATGGAGTTGGGTGTGGTGATGCACACCTGTAATCCCAGCTCGCTACCAGAGAGAATGAGGTTCAAGATCAACACAGCGAGACCTCCAGTCAGAAGAAGGAGGAGGAGGAGGAGGAAGGAAAAGAAACACCTTTAATAGGTGTGAGGTCCTTGCTTAGCATCTGGGTGGCCATCCTAAGTAACAGCCCCCATTTTCCTGCCCAAGGGAATGTTACCACTTCCTCAAACCAACCTCACCCTTAATCACCCACATTCAGACCCACCTGGCTCTAATGCCTGAGCCTCTCTCATAAAAGTCCCAGAACTTGGAGCTGGGGTATGACTCAGCGGTAGAGGGCTCGCATAGCCCATGCAGGGCGCTGGGCTGGCTCCTCAGCACCACATATTTTTAATAAAGGCATTGGGTCCAACCCAACTAGAGACAAAATATTAAAAAAAAAAAAAAAAAAACAAGTCCCAGAACTCAAGCTTGTGCTGCCTGTCTCTACTATGGAGGGATGTTGCTTTTATTTGTCAGCTCTGACAAATAAACTCTCTCATGTGTATCTCTGGCTGGTCTCCGTGTTTCATTACTTGCTCGCCCATTTCCCACTTTCTCCCTTTCCTTTCAATAGGGAAGTCTAGATGTTTAAATATGCATCAGAACTTTTAAAGATATCTGCATGGTGAAAAATAACTCTGAAGTAAAAAAGAGTAATGTTGCCAAAATCTTGGTCCCTGTCTCCAATGCCAATTCAATAACCAGGACACGGTTTTGAGAAAAAGGAACAAGAAGGTTTATTGTTTTACAGAAGACTTCTGTCCCAGAGGCTGTGATTCTGCCCAACAGCAGGAATAGGGGGATTTTAAAGAGATGATTCAAAGGCTACATTCTACTTGTTCTCTGTTGGAGTTGTAATTCACTTGTTAATTTGGGAGATAGTCATTACCACTTACTTTTGGTAGGACTGACACATGTGTACCTCTTAAGTTACATTAAAAAAAAAAAAACATTGTTTTTCCTTTGAAATGTCCATGTAGGACTGTGCTCAGCCTGTACTCTCCTGTCAGGTGTTTAAGACCAGGTTGGTCAAAACTGACCTTGTTCCTATCTACCCTTAAGAGTCAGCTGAGGGCTGGGGTTGTGACTCAGCAGTAGAATGCTCACCTAGCACGCATGAGGCCCTGGGTTTGATCCTCAGGTCCACATAAAAAATAAATAAATAAAATAAAGTTACTATATCCAACTACAACTAAAAAATAAATATTAAAAAAAAAAAAAAGAGTCAGTGAGATTCCTCAGAGATTACTCTTGGGAACGTGTGAGAAGTCTCTTGGCTCCTTTAACCAGTGGTGCCATCTTCCAGGATGAGTCAGTGTCTTGTTAACCATACGTGACTTCTCTTGGAAGCATCAATGACACTTCCATCTCCAATGACCGTCTTCTTTGCAGAATGTGCACTGGTTGGCTTCCATGGTCCCTTCCTTTTTTGGGGGGGGAAGATATCTTTTCAATTGTTTTTCTATTTTTTTCTCTAGAGTCCTCCGGATCAGCAGATTGGGTGACTCATGAGAGTTGCAGGGCCCAAAGAGGGGTTCCTTCATTTTCTGAATTCTGGCTTAGGGCCAAAGTAAGGGCAAGGCCCAAAATGTTGGCTGCATTTTCCTCAGTCCTTTTACTTCCTTGACTTTGGTCTCCAAGTGTTTGGTTTTAAACACCCAGCAGGTTAGTTTCACCATTCTTAAAGTGGGAGTAACAGGTTATGACTTCAATATCTATGATTTTACAGTTACCCATTGAAAGGACACTTGTAGAGTCCACACAAAGTCCAAAGACCACACTACACACCAGAATCTCATGCAAGGGATCAGGGAGGGTTTCAGGTGGGGGCAGAGTCTCTGGAGTCGGAGGAGTTGACCATGAGTCATAGGTCTCTGTCTTGGGCATCGGGGGCTGGGAGAAGAAGTAGGCAACAGTTCTAAAATGTACAAGGAAAATACTATTATGGGCAATGACCAACAGACTCCATTTTGCTGAGACTCCACGCCACATAAGAAATGCTTCTCCCATGGGAAAGCCCTGCCTCTGTACCCATCATCAGTTGCTTAGCATAGCATGTTTGACAACACAAAATGGCAATTCTTATACAATGTAAAAGTGTTCTCTCTGTTTCCCATTTTTCTTGGACTACGTACCCTGTCAGAGATTGATTGTCTAGATGTTGGTAACCATTCTTTTTTTTAATATTTATTTTTTTAATATTTATTTCTTTAGGTTTTAGGTGGACACAGTATCTTTATTTCACATTTATATGGTGCTGAGAATCGAACCCAGTTCCCCACGCATACTAGGCGAGTGCGCTACCACTTAAGCCACATCCCCAGCCCAGTAACCATTCTTTAACTTGTACTCAATTAGGGACATTTTGGCCCCTTTTCTGCTTATGATTTTAGATCTCATGATGTTTGTTTATGGTTTTGAATCACAATAACAGCCACTTATAATAAATGTGGTTTTGAACTATAAAAGGTATACTCAAACCCCGAGAAGGGGTCGAAGGGTGTAGACTTGCAGCCTACCCCTTGAACCACCAGCTGGTAGGTCCAGACCACACACTGGTGAATACAGTTTCTGTCTCCTGCTTTAAGATCGACTTGGTGACATATTGCAATCTTGCCTTAACAATATAAAATGAAATTAACAGAGAAAAAAAAATACTTGTGTAATAACTATGAACCAAGAAAAATGATTTTTATAATCTTAAACTTTACTTCATTATATATTATATGCCCTTTGTATTCTGAGATCTCAGTAATCTTTATAACAAAATTTGTTCTTTTGAATACAACTCTAAATGAGCTCAAGTCTAGCCTATTTTGGAGCCATTCTAACATGGAGTAAGGTGGGAGGCATAGTCTTATCTCAGGTAAGGCGGGGCTCTTGACAGATAGCACACTACAACATTACATCTAAAACATGAATCAAACAAAAACTAAGAGAGCTTTTCACTTTCTTTTTGTGGAAAAAGTGGCAAGATGCTTCTATGTCTTACAATTCTGCAACTTAAACATTCACAACTTCAGGGCTGGGGTTTGGCTCAGTGGTAGAGTGTTTGCTTAGCATGTGTAAGGCACTGGGTTCGATTCTCAGCGCCACATGGGCTGGGGATGTGGCTCAAGTGGTAGCGCGCTCGCCTGGCATGTGTTCGACCCTCGAACCCAAGAAGGGTGGGGAGGGCTGGGGATGTGGCTCAAGTGGTAGCGCGCTTGCCTGGCATGTGTGCGGCCCGGGTTCGATCCTCAGCACCACATACAAAGATGTTGTGTCCGCCAATAACTAAAAAATAAATATTAAAAATTCTCTCTCTCTCTTTAAAAAAAAAAAAAAAAAGAAGGGTGGGGAAAGCTCTGCCACATTTCTGCGACTGAAGGCCTCAGCACCTAGCCCGGGTCACGTGTAAGGTTGGTCTCCCACAATCATAACTTCTTTACATCCTTAGTTTTGTTCTATCTTTCATCTTGGACTTTAGCACAATATTACCAGATGAAATACTTTCTCATCTAGAAACATGTCTTTTACCTTCTAACTTCCCATACTAAAATATTTCCATACCTATAACTTTCTTCTATCTTTTTTAGTTTCAGACTCTTTCTATAATTTATAGCCTGAAACAATCCTTATGAATGTTATCTGTGCATGTAATTTCCACAACAAATTTCATCACAGGAGAGGGATCAGACAATCTGGCACTTACAAAAACCATGCCTTAATCTTTTTTTTTTTCTCCCTGATGGCTTTCAAGGGGTTGGGGATGGAGCACAAGATATTTTTGAGGCTGACCTGTCTGCCTTACCAGTATCATGATGCCATCAACTTAAGTGAGTTCCCCACTCTCAATTGTACACAAAGGCTCCTTTGCCTTTTTCTTATATAGGTACATTGACATGCAGAGGCTGCCTACAAAACACAGATTGGCCTTAGTTTTTGTCTTTTCCTTTTCTGGGTGCACTTATTTATTCTGCCAATCTCCCCAGGAATTAAGTTTGATGGGATACTATTAACAGCAAGAACTGTTTTGCCCCAGTGATGGATATCCCTTGGTCAAATGGGGTATCCTGTCACATCTTAAGAGGGGAGACTGCTCCTTTCCCCAGGTCATAAACTAACAGTGCTGAAACCCTCTGCCACATCATTTGTGGCCAGCAGCCTTGACCTTCCACAGGCAAGAGGGCCTGGAAGGCAGGGCAAAGGCCAGGTTCTTTTTTTTTTTTTTTTTCCAGTAATTCCAAAAATTGACTTCCCTCAATGCACAGGACACAAGGTGAGAGGCAGACTCACATTAACCTTAACAAGACACAGGTCTGAGCACCACCTCAAGGAGGACAGCATCTGCTCACAGCACATGCAGCCACTACTGTGGGTGCCAGGATGAACCAGCAAGCAGGGTGAGGCCTCCCGCGCACCAGTCTGCCTTGGCTCTGGGTTCCAGTCGGCATAAAGCAATAAATACTAACACATGACATGCAGAAGGGAAGCCAAGGGGCGATGAGAGAGACCAGGGTGGGGTGTTTTCTCATATGTCCGAGAACAGTGGTGACATTTCAAGTACTGCAAGGAAAACCATACATTTTTGTACATGGGGCATATGATCTTTGAACCCATACTGTGAGTACCACTGACCCACATCACCTCTGTGGATGCTGAGGGTTACATTCAAGTAGGGCTGGGCAGAGCTGAGCCAAGCCAGGCCTGGGCAAACCAGGGAGGCCCAGGCAGGGTTGCCCTGAACATGCCCCACTCTGCATCCTGGGAGACAGGGCTCGGCACAGCCCAGAGGCCACGAGACAGAAAAGCCTTGACATCAGGACCCACTGGTGAAGCTCTGTGGGGAGGGTTTTTGCGTATGTGTTATTTTTCCTGTTGCACCAAAAGTTCACCCTCACCTGCCCACCACATTCAGGTAAGAAAGAAGGCTGGGCACTGCCCATACTGTGCCACACAAGGCAGGATGGTGAGGAACAGCCAATCAGAAACACACCCACACTGTAGCAGTGTGCCCCAGCCAATGGCTGCACCAAGCCCCCGGCCACCTGCCAGGCACCTCCTGCCCCTGACAGTGACACCATTTAGCCATTTTCTACATCCCAGGAAACTTTTCTAGGATTTTTTTTTTTTTTTTTCCAGTTTAGGGCTGATGTCCTGGACCACAGTGAGTTGATCTGCGGCTGCCTGGGACCAGGCTGAGAATCGGTGCTGGGAGCACCAGCACTGGGTTGAAGAGATTTAAATCTCTGCAACCCTTTCTTCTGGTGTCCTGCTATCCTTGCACACCATAGGTAGTGTCATTGGGCACCTTCAGCTTAGCTCCTGACATCAGACCCCTTATCACGCAACTGCATAAATACCTGTACACACAGACTCTCTTCCATATACTTGACCCCTGACACACCAACTTCAATGTCAAGATTGTGCAATGTGATCCAGAAAAACCATTTAAAGGCCAGACTGTGTTACAGCAAACCGTCTCTCTCTAGACTGGCTTATGCCTTTAGGTGGCCCATTCAGCCAAGATCCCTCTGCTCAAGAGACTACTGGTAAATCAATGCACGGGTTGGGGTTGTGGCTCAGCGGTAAAGCACTCACCTAGCATATGTGGGGCACTGAATTCAATCCTCAGCACCACATAAAAATAAATTAAAGGTATTGTGTCCAACTACAAGTAAAACAAAATATTTTTTAAAAATCAATGTAGCATGACCCATGTCTTAAAGAGACAGTAACAGCTGAAAAAAAAATAAAAAATTACTCAGATGAGAGAGGATCGTCCAAACCAGGGCTGACAGATAGGAAACTTTAAAACAGACCTGCAGATACAAATTTCTTCTATTTACTTTACTTTTTTTTTTTTTTTGGTACTGGGGATTGAACTCAGGGGCACCCAACCACTGAGCCACATCCCCAGCCCTATTTTGTATT